TTTGTTCTACATAAAATAAAAAGGATAGTATACTTTAGAATGCACATTTAAAATATACACATCCTATCTAAAGTCAGGTTTTTCTTTGCTTTTTGTTTTCCTGATAATTAAATCCTGTTGTCTTAAAACAAAAATTAAATTTTGGACATAATAAAAAAGAAAGTTTTATTTTTCATTCTACCGCAAAAATTTTTAAGTAGTTTATTTTATGGGCCTTTAAATCATTATAAGACATTCAGTAGTCTAGCGATAATTCAAAATGTAAAAGCAAATTTGAAGCATATATTTGTACTTGAAATGATTTGTATAACGTGGTATGACATTGCTTATTTGCTTCTTATTTAATGGTATTTTGAATCTTTGCATTTTTCAAAGACTTTTCTTGGTTAAAATAAGAGTTATAGTTAAAAATGACTACATTGGCAAGAATCCAAATACTCATTTACTCTGAACAATGTAAAGAAATTTTATACCTAAATGTTATGCATTAAAAGCTATTTGTCCTAGTTGATAAAAGAATTAAAGTGATAAAGTTTTGAAATTTTCTTGAAGACCATGATGGGTGCTCTCTCATATAATGAAAGTTATTTTTACTGACATTATAAAATATTTTTCTTGGCTTTTCTGTGTGCTTATGCAAATGTATATTTCTTTACTGAAAAGCATATATGATGTTTATGATGGCATTTATTCCCATATGTAATTTATTGCTTATTTTTTTTTCAGGGAGTATTTCAAAGACTGATGACTTATCAGTAGTGTCTAAATATTAGTGATGAACTTGTGAAAATAAATACCAGTTTAGCTCATTGCTTTTCGAGATTTGTTTTTTAATCTTTTAAAAAGTTTGAAAGTTAAAATGATGGAAATGCCACAATGAAATTTTTTAAGAAACAATAACTTGGGAAGAGATAAAAGCATTTTATTCTAGATGGAGTTTAAAATCCCACTGCAAAAATAAGTTAATCTTTTATTTTAGAGAGTTTCTATCTAATGGTGTGGTGTGACATAAGGAAGCATGGGCTATGTAATGATTTAAAAGCAGTGTTCATTCAAAAATTTGGATGAGGAGTCATTCACTACAAAAATGTAAAATAATCTTTTCTGTTGATTTAATTAATGAAGTGGATAAAGGACTATTTTAGTAGGCTCAAGTTATACATATAGAGAGATATGTAAGAATAAATACTTCGGTATTCTGTGGCCTAAAAGCAGACACAACTATAATATAGTAAATAAAACTCCCCAGAATGTAACCGTCAGGATTCAATTTCATTAAAAAATTTGGCAGTTAAAGAAAAGGAGGCAAATGCTTATTAAATCAGGGCAGCCATAAAATGTTGACAGATCTCAAGTTCCATATCCAACTAGGCTCTTAGAAAACTGCTAGCATGTTGGTGGAGTACAAGTTATTCTGTCAAACCATTTTTCATAGTAAATTATCTTTTCACTACCCTCAAATCTGAAATCCGACTTCATAGACTAACCATTTTCTTTCCTGTCTCCTCTTCCTCCTCTCCTCTCTCTCTCTTTCTCTCTCTCTTTCTTTCACTGTCTCTCTCTCTCTTTTAATACTGTAATCAGTTGGTTGAGGCTAAGTTAGTAAGGTTCAGAGAGGGACCGGAGGGGGTTTCAGGTATTCAGCTTCAATGCTTAGGTCTTATCAAGGTCACCCATCTAGGTGAGATGTATCTGTGCTCTCTCGAAACATTTATTTTCTTTCCTAATCCAACTTCCAATGTCTTTTAAAGAAAGAACCAGGCGATCTATCAAAGGCAGAATAGATCAGAATTAAATTAATTACTTGGAAAATTTAGGCATTGCTCCACTCCCTTCTCCCTAGCTATTAAGGAAAAAAAAAACAAACTGTGAAATTTGAAATTTGTGTTCTCTAGATTGGCAAATAAAGTGATTAAATATGTAGGATTGCAAATCATTCTTTAAGATATTGTTTGATTCTTCATTCTCCCATGTTATAAGGAGTGGTGCACACACCTGAATGGACATCCAGCAGAGACGTTTAGCTATTTAAATAAAGAGAGGGTGGGGGAAGAGGAGGCCTGACTTGCCAGGTTTGACTGAGTACATTGATTAAAGTTATTAGATAATTGTTCACCTTTATACTTAGCCCCATGAGAGGGGACACACACATATATTATAAAATACTTCAAATTAACGTTGAATAGTCCAACTGGGATCACTAAAGTTATTTACATTTAGCAATGGATTAAAATGTTGGCATTATACATTTGATGAATTAGGATCTTAGTTTCCTTGTATACTCTGACTTAAAAATTTGCTGAACACATTTTCAGGGGCCTTTTATGGAGGTCAATTTTCTCAGTGTAATTGTGAATTGAAAGGTGGCTACCCCTTCACTTTCTGTGGGGGAACAAAAATTGAGAGACAAGAGGACAATGTTATGTACTATAGATGGCAATTAGGTCCATAGACTATTTTAAAGTAGTCTTTGGTAGAATAGGATGAGACTGAGCATTTTTTGGGTTTGGTGTAAAGAACATTAGTAAACATTAATTATCGGCAACTTTAAAAAAGACAGTAGTTGCAAATATTTTAAAAATAGCATCCAGACTCTATATTAATGAGCTTTGCTCTCCTCCAAAATTTCTGGAAAATGATGTCACTAAATTTTTGCATTCATCTGATTAAACAAGCTGAAGTATTGTTCTGACACGTAAAACATGAATACCCCAAGAACAAATAAAAATTTATGCTAGATAAGAAGAAAATGTTGCTGATTTCATATTTGCTATAATTTCAGGAAGAAGTGGCCAAGTGAAAACTATGGGCTAGTAAAGCTTTTTATTTCTTTAGGAAGTCTGTTTATTACACTGACAGAAATTATATTCTTTGTCTTAATCTTAGAAAAAATGTGATGACCTTTTGAAATTTTTAGATTCTTAGATGCTCATGAAAATAGGGAAATACTTGATTGCTTTAATGTTTGCTTACATAGATATTAAGTATATAGAAAGATATTAAAGAATCAATGAAAGAATTTAACAAGTAGGCATTTAGACATTAAATTGTACTTCGGTTCTTATAACCATTGGTCATCCCACATTATTTTTTTCTCCTGTATTAAATACAATTTGAAATTGTTTAAGAATCACTAATTAGTCCTCATGCCAGACTCTGTTTGATAGTGCTGCCATCACTGAACAGCAAGGCAAAACAAAATGATAGTCATATTACTAAGAAGTTCTGCTGTCAGAAGAATTTACAAGATTTTTGGGAAATAATACCTATGGGTAAATTTACTTTGCTTTCTTTCCTCTTTCATGTTAGAGTAAGGCTTAATTCTCCATGTTGGCCGTTGATCACGGTGGAGGCTGTTGAGAGGTAGCCATGTAATTTCTTTATCTTTCACCTGCAAATTACACACATTATTTTGCAGCTCAAAATAAGCATTCCCAATGAGTTGCATTCAGTAAATGTCTTTCACAACATTAGTACAGAGCTGAGGTACAAAAGAATATTAATCTAATACATTCCAAAATTCAAATACTTGTGATTAATAAGCATTATTATCTATAAATAAGGCCCTAATGATACTTTGGCAGTGTTGTAAACACAAGAATCAGCGGCAATTATTGTCATTATTGTTCGGCAAGTACTTTCCATGAATACCAATGGGTATTGCTGTCCAGATACTTGGCAAGTAAGGTTCCTATAAAGAAACAGATGTTGGCCAATCAGGACTGGCTACTATTAACTGCCCCTAGCCCCAAATGCAGTGTCCTTAAAGAAAAAAAAAAAAGCAGATCTCAAAAACAGTTTTGATGCAATTTTTGAAAAATGCCCTGTATAGTAAATACAAAGCATCTTGAAAATAATGTTTTCCAATACTAACATTGGTGCATTGGAGATATTAGCAACCATTGTGTTAGTTGGAAGTAAAGTTCTCATTTGTGAGTCTCTAGATCTGGAGCGATTAGGTGCCCTTGAAATAAAGTCAGTGGACAACAAAGATAAGTTGCAGCCACACAAATGACCCTCAAAGAGCCCGGGCACAGGCATGTCTTTATCTTTCTAACCTTCCCAGGTCACACAGAGTGTTAAATATGTCCAGCCCACCAGGCCCTGTAACAATACTGTGTGTGTGTGTGTGTGTGGTGGTGGGTAGCTCTGCTGTAGTAGTACAAGTTAAACCTAGTCCCTCTTTCATGGAAAATGCAACACAGACCTCTACCACACATTCTCTCTGAATTCTGGGTCTTAGAAGTCAATGAACTGATTTTAACTTGCAGTCTTAGTAAATTCAATGGTATTTGATAAAACAAATTGGTTTTTGTAGTGAGGAAAAAAGCTTTTTATATATTTTCCTACAGGATAAGTGGATTATACATGGAATACAGATCTGTCATTTATTTTTAAATTTTCTTGTGCCAAACCTTATGCTTTAATATATGACAGGTCTGCATGGTGAGGGTTGAGAAAGCATTGAGTTATTTTCCTAAGGCATTGGAGAAACTTAGAAGGAGGAGTGGTGTAACAGTGGTGTGGGTGATGTTTTCGAAGAAGCAACCTCTTTGCCAACCATTGTTATTGGCTATCAATTTTAGTGTGGCGTGTTCTTTATGGAGAATGCCCTGAGGAATGGCAGGCTAACCCATAGAAGTGACTGAGGTGATTTAGTATGGACTTTCTACACCCCCAGACCCCCAAAGACACCACCTCTTTATCATTACATTAAGTTTGATAGGATTTTCCTTTCTTGCCCTCTGGGAACTGAAACAGAAGGGGTTCCATTGTCCTCACTATAAACTGGGAGGGGAGCCAGGGGGAGTGTCAATCTATGAGATTTTTCCTCTGGCTCCTTCTGAAAATGCTCTTGCCGTCCTGAGAGCAAGCAGCCACTCTCAGGGAGGCAGCAGCTGGACTGCCCAGTCATCACTGACGGGAGAATTGAGGTCACAGTCCAGCCCTGGGCACTATCCCCTCTTCCACTGTGATCTCAGATCTCTGCAAGACTGGAGGGAGAGCTGTTCACCAGACTCCTGCAGCCTGTGCTCACTCTCTGAGTTGTTGAGAAAAGGGGAGCTCTCCTAAGCAAACCTTTTCTCATTCCCAAACCTAATGACTCAAGAGAGAATGCCCACAACAACCATGACAACAACAATGGCCACATTTTACTAAGGATTCATCATGTACCAGGTATTGAAGTAGATATCTTATATGTATTGTTCTATATCAGTCTCTAAAAGCTTTTTGAACTACAGCTCATTGTTATTCAGGTTTGAGCCAACAAGACTTCCAGGGGTTAAGTCACCTGCCCAATGTCATGTGTTACCGGTCCCTGGTTTTAAATTTCAGTCATGTCTTAGAGACAATGTGCTTTTTTAGGGCAGTAATTTACTGCCTTCCAAATTCTGGGGGACTCCTGCTGCTTTCTCCTCTTCTTGGAGTTCTAGACATTGCCCTCTTAGGGACACTCTCTATGTTAGGTTGCAAAGCAGTCTGTGAGTGTGGCATCCTTTCCAATCTCAGATCAAAACAAATGCTCTTCAGGCCTCCTTGATCACCATTACTATAGCGAGCCACATCTTCCACCCTATCTGACCATAAGAACTGAATAAACTCAGCATATTAACCTAAAATGATCATTACAATTTGGTTTGGATGGTTCATTTACACTGAATCCTAGCAAGGTGCCATCATAGTCCCAGCTAGTGCACGTGGCGCTGGAAACTCTGACGCTAAATATACACGGAGAATGTCTGTTTCTTCGTATAGGAGCACCCCGAGGAAGAGAACAACCCATCATGGGAAGTACTGTCCCTAGACATGATCTTGACTATTGAATCTGGAGACCAGAGATGGCTCCTGCTTCCAGGCTGATGAAGGGGCCCGGGGGCAGCTCACCACCCCCTTGCAGGGACTCTGTAGATACCTCACACTCAGAAGCAAGGCATCTACCTCAAACCTCCCCATTGCTCTTGGTGTTGATCTGGGAGACAATGGCGCTTTCAGGCCAGCTCAGGCTAAATCAGCAAGACTGGACTTTGTGTCCCCCACTTCCCACACCCAAGGGAATGCTTGAATCTGGGCACTGCTCCACCCTGCACTGACCAGGGAACAGAGTGTGCAAATGCTGGTTTCTGGGTTGAGGGAAAATGTGTAGCTTTGTTTGGGTTCTAAGAGGAAATGTAGCTAGCTATGGAAGTTGGAGGAACACTGCCACTCTACTCAGCAATAGTAACATAAAGGTAGAAAACCCTCAGTAAGGATTTCATTTCAAATGAAATTGTCATAGCTGTCAGGGGTCCCCAAAGGGCAAACTGTTATTTGTAAAAGTGAAAAGGTTACTTAGTTTTCAGAAAATGAACAATTAATTAATTAATACTCTCCTCATTCCAAGAAAGTTTTTGAGGCAGTTATAAAAATATATGCGAGAAAGAAATGAAGGTCAGAAAATGAATGAGGATAAAGTTAGTATAAATTAATGCATACCCTCAAATGTTGTGTCTTGCTTAGAGGTGTTTGAAAGTCATACCAAATAGCAAGAGATAGGCTTTGCTTTCTTCAAGCAAAAAATAGAAAATTAATAAGAGAATTTTACAACAAGCTATCAATTTGTTAACTTTTATTTAAAAGACAGTTTTCAAGAGGAATTATCAATTATATGTGACTTAAATATATTTCTTCAAAATGTTTGCTATATTTAATCTCAAAGAAAATACGAGAGCAATTTTCTGTGCTATATTTTCTACTAACAATAAAATGTGCCTCTTGGGCTCATTAGAATTTTACATTGAGAACAAGCGTTATGTTATTTTTTGACAATCTTCAAAGCAAGAAGTGGACATTTTACTTTATTATTTTAAGATAATTTGGTATCTTGCAAAATTGAATAATTCATGAAATATGGATCATGTCTGTGTCTTCCCAGTAAGTTCTAGAAAATCAATAAATTATATATTTTATCTTTTGTTATTGTTTTGCTTAGGTGGTCATAGGCAGACATATAAAGAGCTCAGTAAAGTTCCTTACATTTAGGGGTATAGAAATTCAGGCACTCAGCCACAACTGACTTAGTGACTTGGTTGCTTTATGTAAGCGGTTTGCTTTCAGTTTTCTCATCTGTTAAATCAGGGTATGGTATTTAGTTGAACTTTAAGTTGCCTTCTAGTCATAAAATTCTGTGTTTTGAATTTTCTGTCATCTAGAGAATCCATTAATGTAAGCATGATTTTTAAATATCTAGTTATATTTCAATTGATACAGACTTGCATGTAAAAAAGAATATGGGCCATTCTATTATGCAGTGTAAATCAATAAAATGAAAATGTATCCATTGACAACATTTGTATTTTCACCTATCATAGAACCGTGCCATCTCTTTGAATACAATACACTTTTATGCCCCATTAAAGCATGCTTGACATAGCTTTCAACTACTTGCAAATGCTGAGAAGTTGAAAAACATAACATTTACAAAAGATACATCTGGTGCATATTTATATGACTTGGAATAAGGAATCATTTAAATACTGCTGAGCCATCTCCATATTAGGAGAAAAGATATTTCGTGTCCATATGTGAGATTGGTAGTAAAATACTTGTAGGTTTAAATTTCTGTTATGCATTCTCTTTTTACTTGATATGTGTTAAAAATATGGAGATATTGATTAGGGCATAATTCAGCTACTTGAATTGTTGGAGTTGATTTCCCCTTAAACTTTAGAGATTATGTTATTAAACCTAGTTTATATTCTACAGGAGTTAAGTTTTGGAAAGGGTTAAATATAGCACTTTTTACTTGGAAAAGCTGTTTCTTCAGGAGAAGGGGTTCTTAAATCTGGGCATTATGGACCAGTTAAGCATTGCTGGATAAGCTTCAGGGACTCTGAAGCCACCAAGTTATATGCAAACGTGTGTGTGTGTGTTTGTATTTGCACAAATGAGTATTTTTTTCCTGGAAAAGGACTAGTTTTCATCCATATCTCACAGAGGTTGATGATCCTGGCATATGTAGTAGAAAGACTTGGAATTACAAAAAATACTTGGAGTTACCCTTGAGTAGTGGTTTAACTTACCTCTGTAGCCACCTGCCTTCTGCTGGTCTCTTTCATGAAATTTAAAGCTTGTGCTAAATAATCTCAGATACCCCTTTCAGCATTCTGTGTTCTGAGTCAGAAACCTACCTCCGTCTAAATCCTTAAGCCACCAGTGCCCTCAGCATTTATTCTATCCACTGCATTCACTTTTAGGTTGTTATTGCAAAATTTCGTTATGGAGTATAGACGAGGTTATGCTTAATAGTGTGTAGGGCTGCATACATATCAAGTTGGGGAAGAAGAACACCTAAAATATGCCATGTGGTACAGCATATGAAATATAACTTGTACCCTCTAGCTCACACACACTTTAATTAATGTTGTGGGCTGTGCTTTAAACTGAGAGAAGTGAGAAAATCAAGGTTAAGGACATTGTGTTCTTTGCAATGTAGAGGGAAAAAAGAGACAGCTATGTAAATTAAGAATTTCATATCTTCGTGTCAATTTCTTATCTGTTGTCAGTTTGAATGATTTCTAAATCAGAAGAATGCTGAAGATCTGTTTTCCCATCAGTTTTGAGTCTAAGGAATTTGGAGCTGGAGTTTTGAGCCAGGAAACGGTCCTGTTTTGAATTCAGAGGCTCCACTGCTGAGCACAGATGCCAAGCTTATGATAAATTCCAAAAGGTTCAGCTTGGTATTTCAAGCCCAGAGGTCGGAGAGAGTTCTGTGGGTGGGCAAATAGGACTGGGAGGCTGCTGTGTAGCACTTGGGGAAAGCTCCATTGGCTTGGTGATGTGGTCAGTTTGGGGAGACCCACCTTCCCCAAGTAGAATATATTGTTCTAGTGGCATATTGTTCTAGTGGCCCTCCTGGCTTTAGGATATGAGGAATCACCACATTTTCTATATATTTGATGTGCTGTAGGGCCAACATCTAGAAAACTTTCTAAAGTTTTCATTTTCCAATTAGTTATAACAGTGTCATATAGACCTAACCTCCAAAACTGATCTATTGTACAAAAATGCTTAATTTGAGAGGTATTAATTGGATAGCTCATTTTTTTTTTTTTTGAGCCATTTAGATCAGTCATGTCAGGGTGGCAGCTGAGGGGGCTACATCACATGTATACCACAAACCAGATTCTAACTGCAGAGGCAGATACCAACCCCACCTTTATTTCCTTCTCTCTTTCCCCAGACATTTGTATATATTGGCAGACTCATTAAAACTCTTTCTGTATAACAAGTGGTGATAACTTTTTCTGGGTTGAAATCCTAGGAAAGTTATTTTTTTCAGGGAAGATGGCCTAACTGGGTCCCATACAGCTGATGTCTGCAGTTAGGAACATCATGTGAATTTTGACTTAAATCACACACGTTATGATGTGTACTGCTGACACTAGGAAATCTGGGAATTTTGGGATTTATTTGTTATTAATTCATATTTCTTGTTTGTAAGCAAGAATACATAAAAGGTTTTATTTATCCTCTCATGAAAAAGCTGCACAATTACCATAGACACAGATAAAGTCACTGCAGAATCTTTACTTCTGTTGCTCAATCTCCAACTTGCCATTTGCCAGCACCAACTCTGGCCTTTGCAGTGCCACTGACTTTCTTCATTCTGTTCTTGTCTTCCTTTCACTGTTTTCTTGAGGTCTTTTTCTTCTCATATAGGCCATTGTTGTTCTTTTATCAATGATTTGTTCAAAGTTTCCCACCAAGATATTCCTAGGTAGAACCTCAAGTGTCACTTCACTAATTGGGGTGGGGAGAAGCAGTGAGGACAGGTTCATGCCAGAGAATATCCATCATATTTCAGATATATTCCAGTGGAGACAAACTGGCATCAAGAGTTGGTAGTTTCCATATGTCAATACATACATTTGTTTGCATTATCCAAGGAATCATAAATCTTGCCAAAGCCAGTTGTCTTGCCACCTCCAACATGGTTGTCTTTTCTATTTCGGCCAGTTTTTCCCAATTTTTTTTTAAAGATTTGTTTGTTTTATGCATATAAGAACTGGGGTACAGGCTGGAGGTGTGGGGAGGATTCACCAGAGACAGAGTGGGAAGCAGAACAGGTGGATCTACTGAAATACACTGCTGAGGGGAGCAGTGGGCGAGACAGGAGAGGTCTGCTGCGTCATGTGGGT